ACTCAGATAAAACCTGGGAAGCTGCTGATTAGAGTCTGTACCTAGGCAGTCTCGGCCATGGGTGTTTAAAATCAGTCTCCACAGGACTGGAGTCATCACTGGAGATGGCTAATTCAGGCTCGGCAGTGACCATATGGTACTGTTTGGTTCGTTCCGTCCGTTTTGGTGAAGCTGTATAGTTAGATATTGATGGTTGTCCGGGGCGAAACACCGCTGTCGGTGGAGTTGGCAAATTAAGCGAACCTTTAAACTGTTTGAGGTTTCCAGTGGGCGCCTGGAGCCTCAAAACTACATGATCATATCCTTCCTTTGTTTCTCCCTGAGGGCACCTAAAGCCGACGTCTGTATACAGTGACGTAGTGTTAGCAGGCCAAATTGGTGGTCCGATCTGTCTGACAGTGTTTAGGTGACTTCGTTCTGCTGTCCGGGGTTGGAGCCTCTGTTGATGGCAGATGTGTTTACCATCACTCCAGGACGGGGACATGGAATGTGAGTTGCTGAGTATTCCTGTCGAATCAGCTTAGTCTTAGCTCGTCGGATAGACCGATAGGTTAGCGGCCTCTTGGCTCGCCTCTAGGGGTTGGGGCATTTAGGCAGCCTGGAGCTTGCCAGATCTGAGTGCCCCTTCCTTCTAGCACACTGTCTTACTTGAGCGAAAGTCGTAACCAGGGCACGAGTTTGTTTCTGGTGTTCTCTTCTGTCTTGTTTGAACGTGAAAATACTTGATACCGATGCATATGTAAGGAAGGGTAGACACATTCGATAAATCGCTTAATCCTTATTTCATGTCTACTGTTGCAATCTTTGTAATTTGTGCAACATTTACCTTTTTTGTGATTGCTTGTCATTATTGTTATTCTACATAAAAAAAGGTATGACCAGTTACATATCACGTTAAACTTAGGTTAACTTTTTTAATCGAAAAAGCAATGATTTGAGCATATTTTATTAATATATACCTGATAGGGTCAGATTTTGTGATAATTTCTATACATTAAAAATTATTATTTCTTTCGAATAATTTCCTACTGGAACCAACGAAGGCTAAGTTTTGTTTGGCTAAAACCTGAATGGCATAGATCATTCTTTCAGTAACATCGCAAAATGCTTTTTTTTAATAAATTTTGAAATTCTGAATCACCAGGTTTATTTTCTTAATCGTTCTAAGAAATCGGATCAAAGATGCAGATTCCGGAAATGCGTTAAATTTACATCGATTTTTGTCTTTTGGGAAACTGGAACTGAATACCAGGTTTTCATAATATCCAGGATCATTTTCTATTAAGGCTTGACCTTGGGATTTTAATAATGAACTTGGGCATAATCCGGAATAATCAGGCACAGGCAAATGCAATTATACTGCAGAAATTGTAGATTTTTTTAGTATTTCTTCTGTTTTTTCGACCGGCTGCATTGAAGTTAAAGGTAATTCTCGGGTGAAAACGCTTTCTAATTCCTTCTGATTATTAGGTTCTTTTGGTAATTTCAGTGGTAGCTGACACGTTGATGGACAGCTAGTGCTAATAGTGTCAGCTTGGGTATTCCCTGAGTTTTCCAAAAACTGAGCAATTTTAAAGTACTGGTTTATTAAGTCTTCCTCACATTTTCTTTTTCTTCATTAAATTTTGATATCCAGACAGTTTTTCCCCCCCTTTTCTGTTTTTCTTCCTACATGTGGGGAAAAATTAAAACAGAAAAAGTAGAAATAAAACTAAAAATAGAAAATAACTATTATAAGAACTATTGCGTAAAACACTTCTTCTTCAAAACGCTCGGAAAGTCACTGTTTGAAATATTTTACCCTACTTCTGAAAAACTGTATCTTAAACCATTGCTTGGAAAATATATATACTATTAGATCAATACCAAATAATTCAAGGAGATGGTGGTAATCTTTTGTTTAAAGTAAATAAATCAAATTTAAAGTATCTATTTAAGACGTAATGAAATAATGTAACATTTTTCCGTATCGCTAAAAATCGGAAAGTGGCCAATTCTTTATTTTAGAATACATTGTCTATTTTTACTTCACTTTAAATCTCAAATAGATATATTTTAAATTCAGTGGTATTCCATAAATATGCCAATTGTTTCTTCTGGAAAGATAATAATTTTTAGTTTAATAAATAAATGGTTCCTGAAAAAAAAACATTTTTCGAGTAATTATGCTTAAATTGTCACTTTTCTGAATTAAAAAGCTAATCTAAATTTAACATAATATGTAACTGCACTTAATTTTTTCTATATAGAATAACAACAAGCAATCGAAAAAAAATCAGAAAAAAGATAAATGGCGCACAAATTACTGCGACTGCAATAGTAGACACCAAATAAGGATTAAGCAATTTGTCGAATGCATCTACGGCGCAAGCCTCCACACTTACATACGCATCGCCATCGCGTATTTTCGTTCACATATCACAAGATCAGCTCAACTTATGTCAAAAACTGTAAAAAGAATTAACTTATAAAAATCAAACTCGTATAAATTGCCAGTTGAAACTCATAAGCTATATCATTGTCAACAACATAGCGGTATGAAGAAAAGAATTTCGGCTATATCCCTAGATATGAGCCCTAGAGCATCTTTTGTGCTCTGTTGTAATCACAGTTTGAACCTTGTCATAAACTATGCTGTGAACAACAATTTATTCAGTGCAAACATATTAGATATGTAAATTAATTTGTTTTTAATTTTAAGGTAATAAATAGTGTTCAGCAATATATTTGGCATCCAATACGTTAAGTATATTATTTCGCTTCACTTGCAGTGTTACTTTTGTAAAACGTGTAGCTGTTGAGTAATGCTGACTTGCCTGACCTACATTCAGCGTTAGTCAGTTACATTCAAGGGGGGAACGTGTCCAAGCGTCTAGTAACCATGTTCCGCTCTTCCTCGTACCCCTCTTCCCCAGCAACCTCTCGAAAGGACTTTCAGCTCACAGCATATTTAGAGTGCCCCCATGCCCCACGGACACTATATACTTACTAATATCCATGCCTTCTTAATGAAAATGACATATTATTATCTGCCCTAATAATACATATACTGATGTCAAATTTCCTTAACAGTGATTACATTGAAGCAAGAGTGGATTATTCAATAAGCAAAATAAAATTAAGAAAAAAAAAATAATTATAAGAAACGTGAGCTAGAAATATATAATATATAAAGATATTGAGCAAATTTCATTTATTTAAGATTAAATGGATAGAAGTTTACGTGGAAGACCTACAAAACATATCAGACTTGGGGGTAGAGCAGACTTTAAGGTACCCCTTGTATTATGGCGAAGTTGTTGTTTGATTTATCGCGAAGTTGTTGCTTCATTTATGGTAGCCTGAGTAGTTGAATGTTATGGAAACTCTATTGTGACGTAATCGGGTGCATGATTCTGGGAAATCTTGAATCCTGGGATGTTTTGTAAACGTTTTTGTGGTGTGTATTGTTTTAATTCTTTAGTATAAGTCGATGTGTACATGGATACCGAGTTTGTGTAATTGTTTGTCTTGTTATTTTGGCTTCGTGCAGTGGCAATTTTTGCCACAAAAATCGCCGCTTCACAAGCCAAAATAACGAGTCAAAGAATTGCACAAAATCGGTATCCATGTACCGCCAAAATTCGCCAAGGGGTTCCCTAAACTATACTTTTACCCAAACTTAGTAGAATAACAAAAACTGAAAGTAGTTAAAGACCTCTAGTGTAGAATTGGATGCCTCTTCAATCAGCAACAATTTTTTGTAAAATTTTGGCCATGAAATCTTATTTCTGGTTACCATGATAGAGTAACTTTGCTTTAGCCTCCTGATTTTTTTAAAATAAAAATAGACAAACATATATATATTATAACAAACCTGTTGGCAAAAATATTATCGCCAGATGAAAACCCTTATCTGTTTCTAGATGGCTATAATAATTCCAAGGACATAAATTTAATGTGACCTCATCAGATATTCACCCCTTTTTAAGGAGAGGAGGAAAAATTAATTCTGTGCATAATAAAAATTCCGGTATCATGGTGCCATCATATAAAATCATGACAATCACTATGGAGCTAACAGTCTGAAATACATATTACATAGATTATATTTTAAATGGCAAGATTTTTTCATTTAGGTATCACCAAAACCATGCCATCTACACAAAAACAAAATTGGCTCTAGTGTAGAATTGGGTGCCCCTTCGATTAGCGACAATTTTTTGTAAAATTTTGGCTATGAAATCTCATTTCTGGTTACCATGATAGTTTAACTTTGCTTTAGTCTCCTGATTTTTTAAAAAATAAAAATAGATTGATGTGTACAAGCAGTGTGCAATGCCTACTTGTGCAATTCTGGGATGTTTTTTTAAGTGAAAACAGATCAATGTGTACATGGACAGAGTTTATGCAATTTTTTGACTTTTTATTTTGGTTTTGTACAGCGGCCATCTTGAAATTGTGTTTTCCTGGCGCTGATCTTGGCCTCAAAAAAGAATCGCCAAAATCAAGGGGCACCCAATAGTAAACTTTTACCCTCACTAGAGCGAAATTGGATTCTGATGTTGAAGAAACTAGATCATGTTTAATTCCTGTCACCCACTATAAACTAAGTAAAATCCATAGGAAGTAAAATCTTTTAACTTAATGAAAAACTGACTGAATTATATTTCAAAAAAGAGCATTATTATAAGCATGTTAGATTATTCGACAATGAATGGGTAAAGTGCAGAATCGCCCACTTATTTGTCTGGCACTTTTTACAAGAGTAAGAATTGAATTTTTGTCAATTTTCTTTGACTTTTTAAGCGAAAATGGGTCGATAGTAAAATGGATAAAGTCAAGGGAGTGCGCTATGCCATTTTTGTGCAATTCTGGGATGTTTTTAAGTGAAAATAGATCGATGTGTACATGGATTCCGAATATGTGCAATTTTTAAAAACGCGCCAAGCAGTGAGTGATTCTGCACTTTCCCCGAATTTGTTTGCAATGAATATGGTTAAAACACCAAATATTGTTACCTCTTTTTCAGTCAGTTTAATGTGTGCCGGATATATCATCTGAAAGGAAGAAAAAAATGTAACTAAAACCAATGTTACTAAAATTGTTAAAGAAATAATTAACAGGCAAAACATTTACCTCCATAGCTTGACCTAATTCTAAATCAAAAGTGACAACACATATACAATAAACCCACTGCGAAAATCTATCCCATGGTAAAATCGATGGATTATTTGAGCTAGAATGAAATGGAGCAAATGTCTGTAGAGTTTTAAAAGATGAAGAGGACTCAGGTAAACTGTCTTTTTCATTAGTTTCCATAATTATAAACCGAAATAAAATATTCAAAAATATATAAATTTATTTCGCTTAAAAACATCAGCATCAAGTATTTAGATATAAATCAACAATCGGAAACATTTTCGTAAATTGTCACTACAGTAATTTAAAACACTACAAACGATGTTTTGTTTTCAGAAAATACAAATGCGATTAAACAGTGTTGCCAGATAATTGAACTTACAAATGAGAAAATTCAAGGTTTGTAAGCACAATATCTGACTGTAAAAACGAAACATTGTGAAAATTTTGGGCTAAAGCATTTTCCATTCCTAAATATTTGCTCTAGGTGCTTCTGTAAATTCTAAAAATTTTTCTGTCCCTAAATTCTGCCATTCAGTGCGCTTGCATAGCTGTCACTGGCTTCAGGACCGACCCTATTTAGATGCAATACATTATCTTTAATATGTAATTAAAATAATAAACTTTTATTGCATTACGAATGGAAACAGCTTTATTTCACTATACTACTTCTAGCATCTATTAAAGTGAAATTAAATTTGTTAATTTAAATTTATTAATACTTGGATTCTGCATGACTCCAAGTCTACTGTAGCGCCCTCTATAAATAAAATAAAGATCGATAAGTTGGGGATGAGTTGCATTTCGATTTTCTATGCGACAACTGTTGTAAATATTTGAATATTGTATGTATATAAAATGTTCTGTTTTTTTCTTTTAGTATATTGTTGCGAACTGATAGATTCTTCTGTAATATGCATAAAGTGATTTAATTCGTAACTTTGTAAACTATTCTGCAACTTCGTCATAGTAAGTTGGAACTTTCTCTCGTATTCGCAAAATGCAGTCGGTTTTAACCAGTATAATAGCTCTTGCCATTAATTTGCGCGTGTCCTCATATGATCTAATTTACAAGAAGGTCTCTACTCTGATTTGCGTTCATATTGGAGATCAATAATGATAGAAAAAAATCGGGTGATCTTTGGAATATGGTAACTGGTAGTTTGGAGGCGATAAAGGTTACTACCTAGGACTTTGGTAATAATATGAGAAGCACTCAGTTTTCCGATTACACATTATTTTGTGTGAGGGAAATGAGAGATCATAAGATATGTCATGTGACATTAATGGACGAATTACAGTTGTTTAATCGGAAAAGGGGGGAAATCTGGAAATTTCGTATTTAGCTATATTCTGTGTTGTGTGAAACGTGACATTAATGGACGAATTACAGTTCTTTAATCGGAAAAGGGGGTTAATTTGGAAAAGCTTCATTGTGTGCTGTGTGAAATAGTGTTGATTAATTTACGATTGCATGGCGCTATGTAAAGTGAATTCTAAATTTTTAATACGTTTATCTGATAATAATAATAAGTTGGGAAGCACTTCCGCAGAGAACCCGGTAAATGTAAACATCGCCAACTTTGGCGATAATAGTTCTAACTTGGTAACCCTTCGGATTTATCCTATTCGCTTGTACAAGCGTCTAGCCCCTCAGACGCTAGTTTCCTCCTGGTTCCTCCCTGAACATCTGCGCAGGTTACTGCGCAAGTCGGCATTTTCCTGAAGGCGCCTCGTATCAGATTCTTTGCTCGTATTTACTGTTATTTACTCTGCTCTTTGACTGCTGTGGTAGCGTGTAATCGCTGATACAGTTCTCTTTTTTTTATTTTGCTTCGATTATTATATCTTCTGCACAAAATCAAGAAAAACTGCCCATTTCAGGGCCAAATACTTCTGTTTCCTCAGAAGGTGTTTTTGATTCTAAATCGAATCAAAATCAGGAAGGAATAACCGTGTGCGATAATACCAATTGTGGTATGTCTGATAATTCTGATTGTGTTGCGAGTGATATGGTTCATTGTGCAAATGATTTTAGTATAGCTGAGAGTAATTTTGTTTGCTGTGATTGCTTAAAACTTTCAACTATAGATACAATTTGAAACGCCATGCATATAAATTTCATTACAATAATACTACATTAATTGAGTCTCTGAAAACTAAGTTCTAATAGTATGGTTGATTGTGCAAATAATTTTAGTGTGGCTGAGAATAATTTTGTATGCTCTGATTGCTTAAAAACGTACCAAAATAAATGCAGTTTGAAACGCCATACCAACACATTACACTCTAATAATACTACATTATTTATTCTTTAAAAAGTGGTCGATCACCAAGCTACAAATGTGAGGACTGCTATCTGAAATTTAGTGACCTAAAAAAAAATTGGAAATATCATCAAAATAAAATTCATACTTCTAACAGGTAATTATGTGTGTCCTATATGTTATGCTAATTTTGAAAAGCGAGAAATAATATTTCATTTCAATAATGTTCATGATGTTGATTTGAATCATACTGAGCTGGAATTTAATTCATTTGATGATTTTTTGGCAAAGAAGGCAGAAATTGAAAATAATAAAATTTCTTATGGAGTAAGCATATTTAATATACATGGTGTAATGCCACTGTTCAGGAAATTTTATATCAGAAAGTAAAGGTTTGCGTCACTTAAAAATCCTTGATAGCAATAAAATAAATGCATATTGCCCAGCTGAATTAAAAGTAACAGAACATACAGATGGCAAATGTGTAGTGTCATATCAGAAAAATAGGGCCCACCAGCGGCCGAGCGGTAAAGTCGCTGAACACTGGTAGTTCGGTCCGAGGTTCGAATCCCGCGAACGGACTGGCTGCATGGGCGTTTTCATGGTTTTCCCCATGTGTAACGTGTATACGAACCAGTTTCCCTTAGAAAGTGCGGTAAAATCCTAGTATACGGTGCAGCTTTGGCGCGACTTTGAAAATTATCGCCAACACCAAAAATGATCCAAAGAACGTCTATATATATACTATACACACATACTATATATACTATATAAATAGTATATACTATGTTTAACTGTATATTTTCTTTGAATGACCCGTTAACTACTCATCGTATATGTCCCGTTTTTACTGCTCATCATAAAGTCACCAAAGTAGTAGCCAAATCCCGTGTGCACCGGATACTAGGATTAAACCGAAAGTGCTCCACGAAGGCATCCCTCCCCTTAGACAGATAGCCCTCAAGGCTTTGCCATAATCTCACACACACACACACACACATATCAGAAAATACATATTGGGCATCGGAATGATTTAGGTCACTTATTTTTAACAACAGACGAAATAAAAAATATTGCATCAAAGATAGCAGCAAAAATTTCTCTGGATAATATTTTAGATGAAATTAGAAATTCTCTATGAGATGCTGGGCTTGAGAAGGTTCATTTACTTACAAAACAAGATTTACATAACATCAAAAAATCTTTCAATTTGTCTTCTAATTCTGTTAAACATGAAAATGATTAGGTTTGTGTAGATATGTGGGTACCTGAAATGCAAAATTCTGAACATCCATGCATTTCATTTTATAAAACCCAGGGATCAACATAGCATGAGTGAATATTGTACACAATATTCATTTCTAAAAGGAAATGATTTTGTTTTGATAATGATGACAGAAGCACAAAGAGAGATACTGAAAAAATTTAGTTCTAACTTGTATATGTATTGATGGTACACATGGGGTGAATGCATACAGATTTGAACTCGTAACTTTACTTACAATAGATGATTTGTGCCAAGGATTCCCGTGTGCATTTTTAATTTCTAATCCATGTGATCAGCCAGTGCTATCATTTTTTTTTTTTTTTTTTTTTTTTTTTTTTTTTTTTTTTTTCATGTATTAAAGAAAATGTTGGGCAAATACAACCACAAATATTTATGTCTGAAATGGGTTTACTACAGAAACGTCTTTTTTGTGCATGGCATATTGATAGAGCCTGGACAAACAATTTTTAAAAAAAAGAAAATCAATGGTGTTGAAAAACAGGCAAAAACATATAAAATTATTAGATCTCTCTTAGAAGAACAAGACATTCATACTTTTCATACACTGACAGAAGCAGCAATAAAATTACTTAAAGAAGATCCTGACACTATTGAATTTGTAAATTACTTTGAAACATATTATTTATAAAATACATCTAGCTGGGCATACTGTTATAGACTTCACAGTGGTGTTAACACAAACATGCACATCGAATGAATTCACCGAACATTAAAATATATTTATCTTCATGGAAAAAATGTTAAGAGATTGGATAACACCATACATGGTATTATGAGATTTGTAAGAGATAAAATGATTAACTGCTGCTTAATTACAGCAAATAAAGTTAAATTAACAAGTAAGATTTGGGTTTTAAGAATCAGACATAAAACAAATGAAACACTATGTTTATAAGTAATAGAGAATGAGAATGGGTGGTCTGTTTCATCATCAACACATACAGAAATATACACTATACATAAAAGTAACAAAACTTGTACATGTCACATACAGTGCACTGTGTGTAATCTATGCATTCAATGACATATATGCAGCTGTATCGATTCATCAGTTTGTAGAGACATTAGGTATTTTTTTGAAAGCAGGCAAGATGAAAAATATGCAACGCCTTCACCGGGAATCAAACCGCGGACCTCTGGATACATATCACACCATGAAGGCATGCCAAGAAGGTGGGAGAAATACTTTACCTAATCGCCAAATCCTGGGTGTGGAGAACAATCATCTAACACCCTTTTAGTTCGGGCACCACTGTACAGACATTAGAATTTTACATTGGAAGCAAGAGGGATTGAAAAATTAGCAATGCCTTCGCCGGGAATCGAACCACGGACCTCTGGAATATGCGCCCAGCGTGCAGACCACCACACCAAGAAGGCGGGAGAAATACCTTATAAGTTAGGTGGAGTATGTGCAAACACACTAGAAATACTGCTACTTATTAAATACATTACTTACATCAGCACACTAGAAATACTGCTACTTATACTACAACTACAATACATAATGAATTATCCACTTATTATAGATGATGAAAATGAATTTTGAATTAAGTAGCCGAAAAAAAAATCACAGACCCTCTCACTGGAACACACAGAGTCGTAGCTAGGGTTTTCAGCGCCCAGAGACAACTGAAGATTTCGTGCCCCCCACTGCTCGCCAAGGATGGAAAAGATTTAATTCTAAAATGTCGTAACATCAGTTTGGCGCCCCTTGGATTCTGCGCCCGGGAACAGATGCCCCCCTCTAGCTATGCCCCTGGGAACACAGAAAGAATGAACTAAAACAAACATGT